AGTTGATTAAGATCTTCTCTCAGAGACAGATGGCTCATTGAATCATCAGATTGGCTCCATCATGGCTTCCAGTTTCCCTCCTCCCACTCATCACCTGACAGAAATTACTGAGAAATAAACTTTGAAGGCGGTGAGAGAGGAATGCCTCCAATGCAGACGCACCGGTTTCAGACGAGGCGGAGCGGGAGTAACCGGCATTCCTGCGTCCTGCGGATCCCGGCTGCAGGAGGAGGAACAGGTAGGAGGGGAGGAGCGGCAGCGGCGCGCCGAGGCTTCAGAGCTGCTGCTCGCTGAAACATGGGAACCACGGAGAGCAAAGCCCCAGTCAGGTCCAGCCGGAGCCTCCAGAACCGGCGCAGCAGGAGGCGGAAGGTGGGTCCGGTTCTGGCCGCTGTTTTTAAGGGAAACGCAGAGGCAGATTTCCAGCTGTTGTCATAAAGTCACTGGGTTCTGGTCGGGATCAGGATGTGGGACGGACCTGCTGCTCTTTCATCTCTTATCTCTGATTTTATCTGAGACGCTTTGTTTGGACTCCCGTCCGACCAGAACCAGATCTCTATCGGGCTGTGGAGAGAAGCGGCTCTTCATGCATGAACTCTTCAGAGGAAACGTGGTTCCGATGTTTTCTGAGCCGCTTCATGTTTACGAGTGTAAACAGAGGAACCGGTTGGCTGATCCGTTTCAGGAGCAGAGGTTCTGCTAGAACCCGGTCAGAAATGATTCAACGAAAACGGAAACAAAGAATGTTAAAAATCAAACTTTGTTTCGGGTCGGAGAGAGGAATCTCCTGCAGCTGAGAGCAGTTCTGTCGGGTCGGCAGCGTGGAGCTGTTGTGTAAACAGATCCGGACCGGCTCCGCTCTGCTGTGGAAACATTCACCCGTCTGACTCGGACCGGTTCCTGATGGTTTTAACCTGGAAAACTCAACAACGGCTCATCACGACTTTATGGATTCTGAAACTGAATCCAGTCCAGCACCCGAGCAGAAAATGTTACAGATTTATGTCAGATTATTTAAAACAAACTGAGGTTAATAACGGATGGAAGGATTATTTAATCCTCACGATTAAATGATCAGTTGATCAAAGTTAATCTAAGATGAGATAAATTAATCAAAGCGAAGCCAAACTAAAGTAGCCCAGTGAATGTTGGCCAAGATAAACTCTGTAATGTTACGGTTGACGAAACTACCAAAAGATAAGCTAAGATTTAGCTTAAGCTAAAAAAAAAAACACGAGTTAAGGAAGGTTAAAGGAGCTAGGCTAAAGTAAGTAAGGCTACCTACCGTCATGCAACTTAAGATAAAAGACAGAAAAATAAATAAAAGATTAAATAATGTTTGTCAAAATAAGTCATAATCCTGTCTAATCCTATTTAATTTAACCCAAACTGATGTAGGCTAAGCTAATTAACAAAGGTAGCCTAACATAAACTAAGGTACAGGAAAATAAACTGAGAAAATATCAAATAATCTCTGTCGAGAGAAATCACAGGTTTGCTAAGCCACGCTTAAGTAATCCTATTTAATATAACCTAAGCTAATATGGGTTAAGATAACCTGGGTTGAATAAGGTCAATAGGCTAAGTTAATCAAAGCTAAGTTAAGATAGGTTAAAATAAGCCAGAATGAACTCAGTGACTTTAAACTCGACCAGAATAGCATTAAGGTAGCCTATAAGCTTTGTAATACAAATTAATGTTAGGACCTGAGAAAACTAGATTGTACTTGGCATTAGCTAAACTGAACCAGGCTAAACAAAAGTTAAGCTAAGCTAAGTGTTTTTAAACTATTTTTTTATAGATATTTGAGAACAATCTAAGAAATCCGGTTTGTGTTTTATTATAATTAACTGGGTGGAAAACCAAAAAAACTTCAACAAAAACTACAACTTCACTGAACGGCTAAAGTGAAGAAGAGATGATCAGCCATCTGATCTCTTACTGTGTCAACATTTCCCTGATAATATTTCCTAGTGAATCACAGAGTTAAAATTATATTTTCTATCAGTTTTTAAAATATTTTTTTATTTTGTTGCAATAAGTCTTCTAATAAATAAAATTATTTGTTTTTAATATTTATAAGTAAAGCATTAGTGTGCAGCCTGCCTTTAGGCAACTAAAATGGTAAATAAAGTTTGAACACATTTTTCATGTAACTAGAATAAAATCAAATCACTTTGTGGGCTGATGATTAGCTGCAAACGTTCAGTTTCTCCGGCCTCTTACCGGCTCTCCTCTGTTTTCTCTGCAGCGAGAGGAAACCTTAAAGAAGAAGAAGGATCTGTTGTCGGAGCTGGAAAAGCTCAGAGCGGACCTGGGTAAGAGCTTCTCTACTGCAGCGTGCTCCGTCTAACCCCCTATTTGCATGTGAAACGCCCGCAGGGCAACGGCTGCTGGGAGCGCTGATAGTGGTGTTGTTGCAGCTGCTGCATGCAGGCTGCGACCTGCAAACATGGAGTCATACGCAGCTTTATGAGCGCATGATGAGCATCTTCAACACATCAGGCAGAAAACCTGCTAACCGAAGCACATGCTTTTATTTTGAAAGAGCCCACATGAATTTCCTGATCAGAAGGATTTAGAAAAATATAATAATGTTAATAGTCCCACCAATAAGGGTTTATTTAGTCAGTTTTAAAAAAAAAAAGCAGAAACCAAATATGATATTAAATACAAAGTGACACTTTTTTTTATTGAAAAGTGTTTATGCTTTAATTTCTCCTTTGGTAGATTAAATTATTTTGAAGTTTACATCGGGTTTTTAAATCAAACTGGAATCAACACTTTAAATACAATATTTAATTAATAAGTTTAATTATTCTCCTTTGGTTCATAAATTCAGATTTGATGATCTAATCATTCTGAATAACAAAACCCAATTTATAAATTTAAGAAGAAAAAGAGAAAAAGTGGAAATGAAACATTCAAGACTGATATGATGAGGAGGATGTGCAGAGTGAGTGATGAAGAGCGGCTGCTGCAGAAATCCTTCAGGAAAACCAGTGGACCTAAACTGAAATGGTGTGGGAAACTGGGTCAGACGGAACCAGGCAGCAGAAATGACCCACCGGCCAGGAATAAGAGCATCGCCGTGGCAACAGATGGTTTCCTCCCAGCAGGCATCGCTGCTTTTCCTGAACCTGGTGAATTTTCCTGAATTTACGAACGATTTCTCCTAATTTCTTTTGGCTTTAGCTAACGGTGTCTCTGGCTGGATGTGAGGTGGCTGTCCCAGTCTCTTCCCCGTAGCATGATGCTGCCACCACCAAGTATAATAACGTGAAGCGATTCAAAGGTGTGAATATTTCTGCAGCTCCATCCTCCAGACGGTAGAAACACAAAGAACTCCAAAACTCACAAGAAAACAACAAACTCAACAAAAAACACTACAAACAGGAAATGGAAACAAAAGGAAAAAAGCTTCAACTAAGAAAAACAGAACAAAGTATGAAACACTGAAAACTCACTCCACAAAGCAGAAGTCCTCCAGACCACTAGGGGGAGTCTGGAGTTGGTAATATTGAGTGTTCATGTTGCTGTTCAATAATATTGTAAAAGACATGAAGCATGTTATGGAAATTTCATTTATCAAAGATTAATAATCAGTTTCAATAATAAGATAAAGATTAATCTTTGTATTTAAGTTTCTTTATTCAAAGGCAAAAGCTTTCGAAGATCCGTCTCACTGAGCCAGTGATGAGTTACTTTGAAAAAGTAACTATAATCTGATTACTGATTACTCCTTGAAGAAATAACTTAGTTGGATAACTGAGTACTTGATTTGGAAAGTAACTAAGTTACATTAAAAGTAACTTTTTTAGTTACTTTCAGCAGCTGCTGACAACAACGCTCTGCTACCTGTGAAAATTACTTTGATCTTTGCCAAAACTTAATTTTAAGTTATTTTATAATAGTAACATCAACAATGTGTCTCCACTTGAACTGAAGGGGAGATTGTTTAATGGTTACAACAGTGCAAAAAAAACTTTAGTAATTTGTATGTCCCAGTATTGTCTGGAAAAGGATTTTAGGCCCCCCGGCCCCAGCCTCCAGGTTCTGCGTTACGGCCCTGCGTTTGCTGTAACAGCTCAGCGCACAGAGCTCCTGCTGCGGCTCCACAACTCAGATGGCTGCACAGATTTGTGACACTTTTCTTAATATCAATAATTAATGGCGTTTAGTTGCACAACTTTACAGACTCGTTCATTCGTGGCTGTTTTCTCGTTTATTGCGCCGTTCATATTAGTCTCGATGTTTGCAGTTTTCTGGAGCGCAACGCGAAGCATGACGTCATTCACAGGTAACATGTTAACATTAACAAAGACAGCGGGACGGATCACACACACACACACACACACACACACACACACACACACACACACACACACACACACAGAGCGGGTTGAGCAGAATCGACCCATTTGCAGGTTCCTGTAGAACCATCTCTGTGTTTGGTCCCTGCAGCTGATCAGAACTCAAACCTGGTTGAGTTCAGGAACATTTGGCTCCATCAGAACCGGGTTGTCCATCAGAACCAGCCTCGGGTCTGGGTCAGCTGCTCACACTCTGTTGCCGCGGTGACAGGCGTCTACACTGAGCTCTATTCAGAACCGGCAGCAGCTGTCGGCGCTGCAGCCAGCTGTCGCCCCCAGCAACACGGCTCTGGGTCGCGGTTCTGGTGGTGTTGGTGGAGACGGATCAGAACCGGCGGGCCTGTGTGTGCCTACATACCTTAGATACTTCCAGATGTTCCCAGCTGCAGGGAGAAATCTCCCTGGAAAGTCAGCAGCTCCGAGTTGTTCCCAAAAAAACTGCTGATTCCCTTCCAACCTGCCGTTGCCATGGTAACCCGCTACCTGTTCCCGTCCAGCGGCGTCGGCGCAGCACTGCCAGAGCCTGCAGGCGGAGAGGGAGGAGGTGCGGTCGAATCTGGAGGAGGCGCTGAGGAGGGCGGAGGAGCAGCACCAGGAGGAGCTGGTTCACCTGGAGAACAGGTGAGAATCGAGCCGGACTCACCTGGAAACATCAGGGTCAAAGTTCAACCACTGAGCTTCATTCAGCATGAGAAACCGGCAGATTTATGAGGGGAAGATGTGGAGGAACCTGAGAACCTGCAGCGTCAGGGCTGGCCCTAGCTGTTGGGGCCCTAGATGTTTGGGAGCCTAGCTGTTGGGGCCCTAGCTGTTGGGGCCCTAGCTGTTGGGGCCCTAGCTGTTTGGGAGCCTAGCTGTTGGGGCCCTAACTGTTTGGGGGCCCTAGCTGTTTGGGAGCCTAGCTGTTGGGGCCCTAACTGTTTGGGGCCATAACTGTTGGGGCCCTAGCTGTTTGGGAGCCTAGCTGTTTGGGGCCCATGTTTATCAAACTCCAGTGACCTGATTCCTAACGGTTTAGATTCTCCAAAAATAAAACAGATTAAACTTTACAAGCGAAGCAGGCCACAGTTAAATTACACATCTTGACTTGAATTAAACTTCGAACAGAAATCCTTTGTTTTTGTGTCGATACAAAAATCTGTATAAAATTTGATGTTGAGTTTTGAGCCAGTTTGAGAACAGCGAAAACGCCAACCGAAGTTGGTAGTTTATTTTATATATCTTATTTATTTTAAAACATATACAAACTTCATAAATATGAGATAACTACAGGATATTTTAACTTTCTGGAAATGAGGCTGAATATGCAGCTGCTGCCCCCTGGTGGCTGGGAGGAGAACCAGAACCAGAACCTTCGTCTTTCTTTGTGTTGCAGGTTAAAAAGTTTCTACCAGGCGGAGTGGGACAAAGTCCACCAGCTGTACCAGGAGGAGGCCGATAAATGCCGCCTGCTGATGGAGCAGCAGGTGAGAACACAACGCAACCAGCTAACCGCTAACACTGCAGCAGGACGCTAACGCCGCCATGTTGCTTCTGTCGCTCAGGTGGAGGAGCTGAGGAGCCGACAGGAAGTAGAGAGGAGGAAACAGGAAGAGAGTCACAGCCAGAAGATGGAGGCGGTCAAACAGGAGTACAACACTTCGATACAAGGTGTGTGTGTGTGTGTGTGTGTGTGTGTGTGTGTGTGTGTCCGGTGACTCCCTCCTGAATGTTTTTAGTCCCAGAAGCTAAAGGTTTTTTTTACTTCCTGTTTCAGAGCTGAGGAGAGTCCAGGTGACTGAACTGGAGGATCTGCAGAAAACGCTGAAGGAAACCGAAACGTCCCTCGCTGTAAGAGCCACGCCAACTGTTTCCTGTGTTCCTCCAAAATAAGAGCATTGACAACATTCAGATGGCTATAAAAAACAAATCGCCAGCTCCACATCCATCCGTGTTTTATGTTAGAGATTAGCATTGATTAGTGTTAGCTATCTGGACAGAACCGTTTGGGTCAGGGAGGCGGGTCAGAACCAGCGCCCCATCCTGTCTGTGTTTGTCCTGCAGGAGAAAATCTCGCTGCTGTCGGCTGAAAACGAGGATCTGAGCGAGAAACTGAGAGCAGAAGAAGAGAGGCGGCAGCGAGTCCTGAGCGACAAAAGCCTGGTAAACGGCGCCGAACACACAGAACCCAGAACCGGGTCAGAACCGCTGATCTAAAGGGGGTTTAGGGTTCATAGGGTTACTGAGCGGTTGTCTCCAGGTGGTGTCAGCAGGTGGCGCTGTCTTTATTCAGAGCTAAAATATTCAAAATCTTTCTTTCAACATTAAACCAGAATAAAAAATTCAAATAAACTTTTTATCGATGAAATCAGCCGAAAGCTTCAGAACCAGAATCTGATCCTTTAAGACATGTCAAACTTGAGGCCCGTGGGCCAAATCTGGCCCATCATAACCATTTCTGTGGCCAGTAGAGCAGCGTGTCCAAAACTTTTGTCACTAAATCAAACCAAAATTAGCCACCGACCAAGAAAATGACAAAAAAAACTGTAAGTAAGCAAATAAAGTATCCCAGTTTTATGACTTTTTTGTTATTCATGGCAGATCTAAAATTTAAAAAACATTTGTGTATCAACAGAAAGGTGTCTAGTTTTATTCTCAGTATAAAAACAGATTTGGTCACTTTATTTCAAAACACTCATTATATTGTATAATTTTAATAAATGAATTAAAAGCTAATTTGACTTTTCAGTAAAAGTCTCTGGAAAAACGAGATTTATTAAAACATATATATATATTTTCTGTCATATTAACATTTTACTTTGTATAATAATTTTATCCTGACAACCAATGAATTTGTATTATTCATGAAATGCAGTAGGGGCCCCACAGAATCAGGTCAAGGGCCACAAATGGCCCCCGGACCGCACTTTGGACACCCTGCTCTCCAGTCTATAACTTAATAACAATTGTCTTAAATATTATTTAATCAAATAAACTCAGTTTGTTTACATCAGTGTGAAACATGTTAAAAATGATTTTAAGTAGCTTTAAAACCTGAAAACTTTTTATTACTTTGATGATCAAACTAAATATTTTCACATCAAAATTTTCTCATTACTTTTTTTTGTGTGTTAAAAACCAATAAAGCAGTCGGTGTTCCCATTTTCTGATTTAGTCTGAAAACATGGTTTTGGTTGGATAATTATCCAGATTTCAGGTTAAACACCAAAATCAACATTTAAATTCTGTAAAAATATAGAAGAAGAACATCCAGGTTGTTGTCTGTTGACTGCTGAACTCTGGCGCCCCCTGCTGGTCTGTGTCCAGAAGGATTCCCACACGCTGTACCTGGAGCAGGAGCTGGACAGCCTCAAGGTGGTGCTGGAGATCAAGAACCAGCAGCTGCACCAGAAGGAGAAGAAGCTGATGGAGATGGACAAGCTGGTGAGTTGGGTGACCTATGACCTCCTTCTGTGACCTTTACCTCCTGCTATGACCTTCACTGTGACCTTCACCATGTTGCAGGTGGAGACGAACGTCCGGCTGGAGGAGTGTCTGAAGAAGGTGCAGCAGGAGAACGAGGACTACAAGGCCAGGATGGACAAACATGCGGCTCTTTCAAAGTAAGAGCCTCAGCTGAACGTCGTCATCATCATCGCTGTTTGTGAGGAAGAGGAGGGTTCTGTTTTTATCTTGGGCCGCTGTCAGGGAGAACGAGATGTTTCAGGACAGACGCAACAAACCAGTTAGAACCAGTCAGAACAGGCCAGAGCCAGAGGTCAGGTCAGGAACTGACCTCCAGCAGACGGTCACTGTGGTCAAGGATGTGGTCAAGGATATCTATGGAAAGTTAGGTGGAAGGAAAAAGTGATAGAAAAAGTTGCACAACCAGAAAAAGCAGCGTTAGGTCAGAGCAGGCAGTATCTTCCAGGATACTTCCAAACTAAATATTCAGTCAGTTTACTACCTAAATATTTATCTTAGTAATTCATCATGTTGGTCTTCAGCTTTCTAGGTTAGTTTGGAGTTCAAGTCTGACCCGGTTCCGCTCTCTGTCGCCCCCTGCAGGCAGCTGTCCACAGAGCAGGCCATCCTGCAGCAGACCCTGCAGAAGGAGTCAAAGGTCAACAAGCGTCTGTCCATGGAGAACGAGGAGCTGCTGTGGAAGCTGCATAACGGCGACCTGCTGAGCAGCCCCCGCCGCCTGACGCCTCCCTCCCCCTGCGGCTCGCCCCGAGACTCCGCCCACTTCCCCACAGCCGCGCCCGTGTCTCCCAGATAACCCGGCGCCGGCCGCTGATGGACGTGCGGCCGGCCGGACGGCGGCGGCGTCGTGGGGCCGACCTCGCCGCCCGCTCTGACAGGAAACCCGGGAGCAGCGGGAACGCTGGCCGGATTTTTCCTCCTTTAAGGATTCGACTTGTTCTCCCAAAGAGCGACGCTCAATCAGTCGGACGTCAGCAGAACCCCGACCCGACCCGAACCCGGTGGACCTTTGTGGAAACCTTTAGACTCTGTGGAATGTAAAACGCTCCGACGGCGCCGCCTCGGGGCGCAATATGCAGATTATTTAACAGGAAATGTTTGTTTTCCTCCAGAACCAGAACCAGAACTGACTAACTGGAAGAATAATTTATCCGTTCATGTCTCATGGAGTCTGTTGTTGTTTGTCCTGAAGAACCTCAGATTTACCCAGAATGCCTCATTGTTCTGCCTCAGAATAAAGTCACTATGCCATCATCATGATGTGAAGATTTTATTTCGGCCAATGAGCACGAAGTGGGCGTGTCTGCAGACAAAGTGGGCGTTTCTCAGCAGTAGCACCTGATTGGACGAGCAAAATGAAGCGCGACACGATTGGACGAACATGTCATCATAGGCCACACCTGATTGGATGGAATTAATGTCAGACATTAAATTATTTTTTAACACGGCTAACTAACTTGTCTGGCATCAGACTTGCATTTATTCATTTACTTTCAGCAGCTTGCTACAGAACGACGCAGCATTGGGCCCAAAATAAGAAATGAATAAAAACATTATGAGAGATAAAGCCATACAGGAATAAAGTTGTAATATAATATTATGACTTTAATTTTGTTTGTTGATTGATTTTCTTGGCATGGCTGTAAAACTTAGATAAACCAACAGAGGACTGATTATATGCCTCCATAACTCCTCCTCTTAGAGAACGTCCAGTTAGATTTCAAAATAAGAGCATCAGCAAAATTCACTCAGTTTAACCCGTCATTCACGAGAGGACCCAAATTTGGGTCCTCTCGTGACAGAGGTGTCAAACTCCAGTCCTCAAGGGCCTCTGTCCTGCAACTTTTAGATGTGCCTCTGCTGCACCACACCTGAAAAGAATAATTAGGTCATTAGCAAGGCTCAGGAGCACCGATCTACACAGGGAGGAGGTAATTAAGCCATTTCATTCCACTGTTTTTTACCTGTGGCACATCTAAACACTGCAGGACAGCAGAGGACTGGAGTTTGACACCCCTGTCATTGTGAATGACAACCTGTGAATGACAGGTTAATAACTAAAAGTAGTGATTTTTATGTTTCTAAGTATGGAAGGTTAAATGTTGATGTTTTGTCTTTTTTAAAAAGAAAATCTGTTTAGTTTCCTGGACTAATGTGACAATGACAGAAGGAGCTAAAAACAGAAATAAAAATGATCATTAAAATGTTGAGTCAGACTAAGAGAGAAGGATTGAACCTTGGCTTCTCATTTTATTCAGCGTTTCACAGATGAGTGATTTCTGTCATGTTTCTGCTGCTGGATGTAGCCAATCAGAGCCTGCGCTGTAGACACGCCCACCTGCAGGTGACCCCCGTCTACTGCTGCCCCGCCTCCACCATGCTGGGGCTCGGAAGCTCCGCCCACCGGCCCAGACCATCATCACCACCGACGTGAGGACCAGACGGACCGCGCCGCCGTCGGTCATCGCCTCAAACTGACCTCTGACCTGCTGCCCGCTCAGGTTGCCTGAGTCTCTGTTAACCCCGATGCCCTGACCCCAGGGGGCGCTGTTCGCAAAGTTACACTGTAGAAAATGAACAGCAACAGTTTGTTTTTATAAAAAAAACTGGATGTTCATTCTTCAGTCATTTTATTCAAACGTTTATTAATGTCAGAGGTACAAACTAAATATTTAATTTCAATGCTAAATATTCAGTTTATAAACTAAATATTTATTTAGGAAGATAAATATTGCGTTAACAAATAAATATTTCATTTGCGGGAGAGCTTGTCTAGAAATCTGCGAAACCCAGATTTTATTTTGATATAGATTTAAACATGTTTAGGAACTAAATGTTTAGCTTAACTGTTTAGTTTCAAATAATAGATATTTAATATTTATATTAATAATAAATATTTAACTCAAGCTAAATATTAGGATACAAACTAAATATTTAGCTTTTGAATTAGATATTTAGCTTGAAACTTGTAAATGTAGGAATAAAATGGTGAAAATATGACTTTGAAAAATTAACAAATTTTTTTCTGACAGGATAAATAAACCAAATTATTGTTGATTTTTTTAGGTGTAATGTTATAAGCAGCGCCCCTTCCCACCACCGCCCTGGATGTGCCGCCGTCACCTGCAGCACCACCTGTGGACTGTGGCGCTTCACGCCGCCCCTGCAGGGGACCAGGCCGCGCGCCTCGGCCAGCGGGTTGCCAACGTTCCCAGTAGAGTCACCCACATGCAGCCGGTACTGGTCCTGCAGAGAGGAGGTGGGCCGGAAAGCGACAGTTCGGATGGTGACGGAACCAATACCATAAATCTGTTTCCACCAGTGACCAGCAGGGGGAGCAAGCGGACACAAACAAGAAATTAGGGCTGCAAATAATCGATTATTCTGATTGTTAACTGGATTAAACAATCACACATTCTGAAGATTATTTACTTAACCATGTCGGGTTATTTTATATCAAAAATATGAATGAATCAATTTGTTTTTAAATAAGAAATAGTTTATAGCCTAAATGCAACAGCAGCATTTCTTTAAACTGTAGCAAAAAATCTGGAGCTAAATTAATATCCAACATGTGAAAATCTCAGGCTGAGCATCAGGACAATGTGGAGCTAATCTGGGGATTATGTCTGGATTAACAGATTATGTGGATGTAAATGTAATTAATAGATTATTATCTGAGAATCTGAACCAGGTGGAGCTGAAACCAGAGGAGCTC